CCCCCCTCCCCCCACCTCATCCTCTCCCACCCTCATTTCCTCTTCCAACTGGACTCATGCAGAAGAGTGTAGCATTGCGGTTTTAACTTATCCACTTTAGTTTTTAATTAATGTTGACACGAGGAACTCAAGCCTTTTTATTCATTCGCCATAACTGCCCCCTTTAAGTCCCATCAACCATCGCAGCCTATTGCATTAATTGTTGATATTATTAAATAGTAGTTTTGGGAATGTTTAAATTAACAAGAAACTTTGTAAAATGATCATTTCATGGTTCTCAAGTGTAAATATGTTATTATTACTAAATGTGTATGCAGGAGCCACAAGTGACCAGCTCGACCGTTACATCACCACCGCCGGCTCACGTTAGCGTGGGGGGGCGGATATTTTTTTTCTGATTTTTTTTTTTTTTTTTTTTGTAATGTACAAAGTAATTTTCACCATACTCAGCTGTAAGTATTGTGCAAGCACATTGTCATACTGAGTGTACAAACATTTTAAAAGATAATAAACCGTTTCTTTTGTACACCTTTGCTCCGGCTTTTCCTTGTGGAGTGGGAAACTCTTTCAGGTGTCAGACCAAAACTGCATGGAGTAGTTTTGAATTTTTATCATCGTGGGCCTGTTACGCAGAACCCTTTGAAGAGGGATGTCAGCGATAATTGCGCTTTCTAACATTGACATCAGCATCCGGTGTCAGATTCAAGAGGAGAGAAATTTTCAACTAATGGGCAGTGTAAAAAAAAAAAAAAAATCTGGCTCGGAGGCTTTTGAAGTCTTTTTAATTATATGAGTGAGTGAGGGGACAATGTTCAGACCTTACCCTTTAAGCCATATTGCGTGTGTGTAATGGTGTGTGACCGGCCTTGGCCATGCAGGCACATTACAAGAGAAAGAAAAAAAATCATTAGCAGATTGGGAGTTGTGAGAAAAAAACTTTGCTCCACTCTACTTTCATTACAGCCTTTCCCCCCTTAGGGCTCTCTTTGGAGAGGAAAGGTTCTCATTGCACTTAAATCCCTTAATATGGGACAGCGCAGTCCAAATACGTCTGGATTTAAACCAACCCCCCGCCCCTCGTCCCCCATTCCTCCTCACTGTGTAATCCATCAAGTCGGCGTGAGTGACAAAGAGCCCACGATTGTCGGCTGCAGGCCAACTTGACAATCGCATTCACGTTTCCAAGAATGTCAGAAGAGCAAATGAAGAAGAGGGCAGCCCAAAAGACCGCAACAAACACTGCGAAATATTCAGTCGAGGCACCACTTAAAACTAAGTGACTCAAACATTTACTGGGCCTGCTGACTCATCTACTGGTGTACCTGTGTTACATGGGAAAACCTGCAGATCATTTCAGACCTCTAGCAACAACGGGAGGGATACATATTTGGGAACTGCAGGTCAAGGATCTTATCCAAACAAGACAGAAATAGACCTTGAATTTTTTTAAGGTCTTTAAATACACTTTTAACCCTTTCAGGGACAGCGATTACTACAGTGGACAGCTTTATCGCGTTATCAGGTTCCAAGGTGCATGAAAGGGTTAAAGCACAAACACATTCATCAATATATTAAGAGAGAGCAAGATCATTGACTAATATATTCCGTTTTCATTACAAATGATTTATTCATTGAATGACAAAAAAAACAAAAAAAACAAAAGGACAAAGACAAAAAAAAAAAAAAATACCATACATGACCGGCATTAGAAAATGGAACTAAACCATCTGAGTACATCACATAGCGTCGTAGCACGGAAAGATTCAAACTTGAAATGGTCGTAAAATAAATACAGGAAGTAAAAAGGGAAGATGTTCAGTCGTAATCCCTTTCGTCGGTTCTCATCATCTGAAACTCGCCGTGTGCTACTGCGAGAAAACATTTCGAATATTTACAATCACGGCGAGGAAGAGCTCTAAGTAGTGTTACTATCAGCCATTAAACTGCCTCATTCTTGAAATTTGCTGTTTTTGAAATACCAACACAGAACAAAACAATAAAACATGTCACCACACCGATACGGACATTTTAAGTGTTTTATGTCAACAATGATCTCCTTTATGCATGCAATCTAGTTTTCAGTCTTTTATCTATTGTCACGTGTTCTAACAAGAGGCCTTTTGGGAGAAATTCTCATAATTAACTATGAATCTCTTTGTAGGCATGGATGACTTAAAAATGGGCTCCTGTGTCGGCCTTATACATGGAAAGAAAAAAAAAAAAGAACAATGTCTCGAATATTAAAAATGAATGAATAGTCCACATTGACAGTTCCAATTGTATAGATACATTATGTAGCCTGTGGAGGTTATTAGAGATGAAAACGAAAGGAAATAGTTCTGATTAAGGCACTTGTGGAAATCCTTCAGTAAAATGGCACTTTGTGGGTGTAATACTTTTTTCTGTTGATTAGAAAGAATCTGAAATTTTCAGGACCACCAAACAACCACTAGCATGCTCGATAGTCTTAGTGGCGTGAGTGGGCTTGTGCATGTGTGTGTGCGTGTGTGTGTGTGTGCGTGGGGGGGGGGGGCACCGCATCAAACTACCGAGACACCCTGCGTGGGGCAGTTCATAGCCGACACCACGTCGGGCCTCTCGATGCGAGCCAGCGCCGAACACAGCAGTCCCAGGGTGGAGCCTTCTTTCAGAGCCCAGTTGGAGAGCAGGGTGTGCGCGGGGGCCTCGCCATGCCCAAACAGGTCCAGCTGTTCGGTTTCGTACCCCAGCGCCTGACCCAGTTGCCGCCAGCCGCCGCCCGCTCCTTCCTGCAGGAGGCGCTCGATTTCTTCCTGTCTGGCTGGCGCCAGGTTGACGTACAGGCGGGTGTCCTGCTTGCTGTCCCTTTTTGTACCTGTGGGCGGTGGAAGCGGGTGGAGTGGATAAGACATTGAAGGCCTTACTCGGATGATTTGTTTCAGACCCAGACTTGACATGCAACAGAAGAAAAACATTGGTCTTGTTGTTTTTCAGATAATACATTTGCAGAGACAACTCTGGCCACAAACGCTTTTCATCTGTTCTGACCGCGCTGGGTTGGATAATGAAAGCATTTTAAATGACCTCATTTACGGTCATGCGAGGCAATGGGTAAATGTGAAGGTTTCCAAGTTGGTGCTGCTAGAAATTAGGATTCTTTGGCGTTACATTCAAGTTTGTTTTTGTAAACAAAGACTGTTCAAAAGTCTCCCAGACACCTCGGTATTGTAAACAGGCGGTGTCGTATTTTTTCCAAAAGCATTTTAGTGGGGAAAAGTTAGACTTTTGGGAAAAAAAAATAAATTTTGTGAACCTGTTCAGGGACAGCTGTTACTACAGTGGACAGTTTATCATGTTATCAGGTTACAGGGTTCATGAGAGGGTTAAATAAATGGTTTTGAATCCTCGCTATAAATGCATGCTTGTCGTTGGCTTCCCGCACCTTTGCAGGTCTGATTGTCTTGCAGACTTTGCGAGTCGAGAAAAACTCCGCTGTCACTTTGTAGCTTCTCTCCCTCTGGAGACGCTCCCAACTCGGCAGCGCGCATCTTTGACAGGGCCTTCTTCTGTTTACACGATCGCCAGCTGCGACGAGCAGAGAAAACAATGTCAGCAAAACAAGCCTTTTCTCTTGAATCCCTTCTTATGCCCATACAAGGACACGGGCCCTGATGAAGACTTACCACTTAGCCCAGTTGGAGAGCAGGGTGTGCGCGGGGGCCTCGCCATGCCCAAACAGGTCCAGCTGTTCGGTTTCGTACCCCAGCGCCTGACCCAGTTGCCGCCAGCCGCCGCCCGCTCCTTCCTGCAGGAGGCGCTCGATTTCTTCCTGTCTGGCTGGCGCCAGGTTGACGTACAGGCGGGTGTCCTGCTTGCTGTCCCTTTTTGTACCTGTGGGCGGTGGAAGCGGGTGGAGTGGATAAGACATTGAAGGCCTTACTCGGATGATTTGTTTCAGACCCAGACTTGACATGCAACAGAAGAAAAACATTGGTCTTGTTGTTTTTCAGATAATACATTTGCAGAGACAACTCTGGCCACAAACGCTTTTCATCTGTTCTGACCGCGCTGGGTTGGATAATGAAAGCATTTTAAATGACCTCATTTACGGTCATGCGAGGCAATGGGTAAATGTGAAGGTTTCCAAGTTGGTGCTGCTAGAAATTAGGATTCTTTGGCGTTACATTCAAGTTTGTTTTTGTAAACAAAGACTGTTCAAAAGTCTCCCAGACACCTCGGTATTGTAAACAGGCGGTGTCGTATTTTTTCCAAAAGCATTTTAGTGGGGAAAAGTTAGACTTTTGGGAAAAAAAAATAAATTTTGTGAACCTGTTCAGGGACAGCTGTTACTACAGTGGACAGTTTATCATGTTATCAGGTTACAGGGTTCATGAGAGGGTTAAATAAATGGTTTTGAATCCTCGCTATAAATGCATGCTTGTCGTTGGCTTCCCGCACCTTTGCAGGTCTGATTGTCTTGCAGACTTTGCGAGTCGAGAAAAACTCCGCTGTCACTTTGTAGCTTCTCTCCCTCTGGAGACGCTCCCAACTCGGCAGCGCGCATCTTTGACAGGGCCTTCTTCTGTTTACACGATCGCCAGCTGCGACGAGCAGAGAAAACAATGTCAGCAAAACAAGCCTTTTCTCTTGAATCCCTTCTTATGCCCATACAAGGACACGGGCCCTGATGAAGACTTACCACTTGTAAGCCACGTAGACCAGCAGGCCAAGGACCACCGCAGCCAGCACGGACACGTACACCAGGATGTTGTTGCTGCTTTTCTCACCCTGTGGGGTGAACTTGGGGGTCCCCGGGGCAAAACTTTCTCCGCCTGGCGTCACATCCTCTACACCGGACTTGCTCGGAGAGTCACGGGACCCATCGGAGAGAATGTGCAGCTTTTTATCTGACGAGAGAAGTGTCGTTATTGCATATGCAGAAAAGGACTTGTGAATTGTGTTGAGAAGATGCCTTCTGTGCTCGGCAATCTGAAGCACTGGCCTATTTCCAACTTCAATTATATTTGTGCCATAAAATGTTATTAATTTATTCCCATCAGCCCTCGTCATGTTTTTCTTAGCTGGACTGCTTTCAGTCGCGGATATGAATGTGAAAAGTTGTGTTTTTTTTATTTTTTTATTTTAGCCTCCTTGTGTTACCATGTCAAACAAATCCGACCACAGCTGTCAGAATCAGGAGCGCTGGCCGACGTAACAAAAATCATATTTCATGCCTTGGCAAATGAGAATGATTAGTTACGTGACTACGCTCGTAACTGAAAACACTCATATCGCAAATCATCTTTCCCTTGTGAAATGAATGGTAATGTCATTCATCCATTTCAGCCCCTCAAAAAACACCTTCAAAATGTTTTAATATGAAAAATAGCATGCAACAGCACTGTTATGTCATACTTGATAAAAATCATGTCGTAAAAATGACATGACAATGAAATAAAACTTGAAGCATTAAACACTGGATGCATCATGATTTCCTGCTTCAATGCCCATCAATGAGCTCCTTCTGGTGTGTGTACCTTGGCCACCAGGGGGCAGTATAATACAGATATACATCATACATAAAGAAGAATTTCACAACTGCGATTCAATAAGTTGCAGAAATATTAATCATGTTTCACAAAGGATAAAGAGTGTATTCCTTTGAGTATTATTGTCTGTCTACAATCTGAGCTTTACTGTTTGTCTATCGGGTTTTCTAAAACGCTCGTAAGTTGGGTTACTTTAAGACAAAATGTTCAGTCAGCTTGTTTCTTTAACCAGATCAGATTTCAAATTTATCCTCGCAGGACCAGCGCGGTGGCTCTCAATTTTATGTTTCGTGATTGGTTAGTCAGAGCGAAACTAATTACAGGCAAATTTCACCTGGCAAAACCCATCTACCGCGATCAGCGCACAAAACTAAATTTCACAATTAGCATCTGTGGTGAGTATGATGCATTATATTTCAATGTTTCACGTGTTTTGTCAAGTTATTGGATAAGTATTGCTCTGGGACTGTGCGGGGTAATCTGCTAAATTTCTACTGAAGGCCCAGGTACCAAATGCACAACTGACTGATAGTACCAGGCGTTGAGCTCCCCTGAGGTTTGAAATCTTCCATTCCCCCATTTTCCCAGCTTTTGTCTCCCTCCTGTGGTTTGACTATTTTAGGCTCAAAAGCCACCAGAAAATTTGGTGACCCTTCGCAGGTCAAAGAGTCACGACATGTGTACAGATGACCTGACTCCCAGAGAGCCGGTGCAGTAATTTGGAAGCCAGGAGACGAGTCCAATGGCTCGTCTGCAATTTGGTCCTTTGGTCCTAACTACAGTGCTCTTTTCTTCTCTGGTGCTGCTTCCTGGTTGGTAAGTTCTGCAGTTCTGCTGAGGTGTGGATTCAGATGTTGACCACATGTCCATGTTTTTCCCTCTAAAGCCCTCCCACTACTTTCAGATTCTTTTTATCTCTCAGAGGCCATTTATGTGACATTTGTTTCATGTGATCGAAACTGTCGTTTTGGCCGTTCCTTCACACGACATCAGCGCTTTGGAACGTACATGAGAAAACTGTTTTCAAAGTGGGAGTTTTCAAAAAACACATCATTACCATTTCCGACTGAAAACGGAGGGCACACATGTGGGTAACTACAGCCCAGTATGAAAAGTACTTTTTTTGACAAATGAAGTGAATTGGATTATTTGCCATGGCACACGAATGAGCTCGGTAGATTAAAGCAGGGGTCCCCAACCGCCGGTCCGCGGACCGGTACCGGTCCGCCGGGCATTTGGTACCGGGCCGCACAGAAAGAACTTGCCTTAATTCCGTTTTGTTTATTTCGGAATACGAAAGATGTTTTATTTTGAAAAACTACCGGATTCTCCGTTGCATCCGTCTGTGTTGCTTGACACACGTCAAGCCACGCTTCTCCTTCACGTGACCGATTACTTCAAAACAAAACGCGGGAGCTCGCAAAATGAGTAAAAAAAACTGCTGGAGATCACAAATGACGGCGGCCTTAAAAGTACGTTCGAGACAACTGGATTAAAGTTTTGGCTGAATACTCTGAGATGGCCACAATAGCACTGTTGCTATTTCCGACATCCTACCTGTGTGAGGAGGGGGTTTTCTGCAGCAACGGCGACTAAAACAAAATTACGAAGTAGACTGGACATGAAACACCAACTTGAGGGG